TCTTTTATATTTTAATTTTTTACCTATTCCACCTATCTCTATTGCCTTCTCTATTTTTTATTCTCCCTTGTTACTGGAAAATATACATAGTCATAAGGAAGTCATAAAGGAGTATGTTATTTGCTGTACCAAAGACATTTTCCTTGAGTTATACCAAATTGTGTTACTTCCATACAATTCCTTTCCTGTACATTTAAAACCTATAACTAATGTACATTGTAAATGAACCATATTATTTTTACTGTACCTTAAAGTTGAGGAAAACAAAGTCCTATATAAATGAAAAACAAAACATGAAATTTAATATGTTAAATGAAGGCTTAATTTAGAAACCTAAGTGTTGCCTTAAAAGGGGGGGGGGAGAGAATGTAGAAATCAATATTTAACACTTTAAAACTGTCAATGACCCAGGGAAATAAAAGCAGTTGTGTTGGTAAGAGTGAGTTATTAGATCATTCTAGGAATGAGTTATTAGATCATTCTATAGGAAATGTATATAAGTAATACAAAAATCTCCATCACTAAGCAATGATCTTTTTCTCTACTTCTTATTATCCTTTTTGATTTAATGTAGTATGCTATTTTATATCCTATCCATATTACATTGCATGGTCTAACCTCTGAATAACTCTGCCAGCACTGTAAGCATCCTTGCCTCAGTGTCCTGTAGTTTTACCTATGTGTAGACACCACCCAGTTATTTTCTCCCTGTCTACACCAAAATTCTAAGTATAGATGAGAGGAATACATATATACTCTGTATCTCCAGAGTCACCAACTTCATCTTGGCCCTCAATACAATTTATCAATCCTATCATGTTTCCCTGATAAACTCCTTTCCCACTTCCTGCAAATACCAGTTATACATTTTCCATTTTCTTTAAAAGTGCATCTCTACTTCAGTAGATAGCCTCACTGATTTCACAGAGAAAGCGGAAGCTATCACTGGGAATTAAACCAACTTCCTGCTACCCATCCTTTCCACTTTTCCACCTGATAGAAAAGGAGATGGTTCTTTACACAATGCCACTAGTACTTGGATCCTATATTTTCCTTGTTACTGGAAAATAATAGCCTTGAGCTATAAATTATAATTTTTTTATTATTTATGACTTTTTCTTTCTAGTGGCATTTAAATTTGAGACTTTCCTATCCTGTCTTCTAGCAAACTTCCTCAGAACATCTCTATTTTTTGCACTTTTTATTCATTCCTTCCACTTGGACTGCAATTTCTTCAATTTGACCTTTGCCTCACTATTCTATGAAAATGCTTTTACCAAAGTCATTTTTCAGCAAATATGATAAATAGAATTTTTCCCTTCTACTTCTTTCTCAGTCTTTTTTAAAAGGCTCCTCCTGTTTCAATTAAAAATGAGATCCTCAAGGCTAGATTCTGGAATTCTTAGTTTACTCCTTCTTTAAAAACATGTTGTCTGGATCAGCAGTATAGGCATCACCTGGAAATATATTAGAAATGAAAACTTCTGGTCTCCACTCCCAGACCTACTGAATTTTTTTTTTTTTCTGAGAGGCCTAGAAATCTGTGTTAAACTCTCTTCGGCAAGTCTGATCCACTCTATAGTTTGACAGCTTGTACCCTAGATCATTTGATCTACGGTCTTTTACCAATGATTTTAAATTTCTTTCTCCAGACTGTGCCTCTCTTACAAGATCCAATTGCCAGCTTGACCTGGCTATTTCACTGGGACCTCCTAATGAACACATTCCTAATAAAACCTCTCATACACTCTTTTCTTCTCATCAGTTCTTCCTCTAGTATTATCTTTCTCAAATGATATTTACCCCATTGTAACAGCATGAAAACTGGGAATCAGATTGAATTCCTCCATTTCTTCAACTCCTATCCCCAAATTCAATCACCAAACCTCTTAAATATATCTCAAATCCATCCATCTTTTTCAATTCCTACTACTAGCACTCTAACTCAATTTATCATCATCTATTATCTGGCCTAGTGCAATAGCCTAACTGGTCTCTCCATAACCATTCTTGTCCTCCTTTAAATTTTTTCATTTCATTTATTTAAAAATACTTTTAATCACTTCTCATGGTCCAAAGTTAAAGAACAAGATTCTTAACAAGATCTCTAATGCCTTACATGATCTGGTATTAAATTTAAATTAGTTACAACAGTATATGGCACAAAATATAAAATTATTAAATGTTACCTTCTATTTCAGGCTACTCTCACTCTGTTATAGCCACATGACTTACTTCAAGTCCTCCAATATATCATAACCTTTCTTATCTCAATGCTTTAGTAGAAAGATTGCCTTACCACATTTTAGTCGTCCTTCAAGTCTCAGGGTGTTTTTTTTCCTGCTCATTTCCTCAACAAAATTAGAAGTCTTACTATTGTATGGCTCCCAAACTTTCTATATTTACTGGTAACAGTCATCAGTGTTAATCATATAAATAATACCTATATTTCTTAATCGAATGTAAATTTTCTGAGGGTTGGATAGGTTTTACATACTGCTGTAATCTCCGTATCTACCAGAATGCCAGGCAAACAGCTGGTCTTTGGTAAATGCTGATCAAGTAAATATAAGCTCAGTACTTTCTCTTTCAGAAAAGTTTCTCCTACTATAAGTTCTGTTTTATATATATATATATATTTTTTTGTTTTGTTTTTTCCACTTGTACCTCTAACTACTTATTTTTGTGGCTCATTGCCTCATTTCTACTGCTCTTAGTATTGCCCAAGTATTATATCCTTAGCTACTTTATTTCTGTTACCAACTTATTCTTTGGAAATTTTATAGATATTATGTTTTAACTATCATCTCCAGACAAATTATTTCATATATCTTTCCTTCACTCTAATCTCTCTTAAACTGGAACTTCATATGCCCAGTTACTTAGCAGACATGCTTACCTAGATGCCCTATTGGTATCTCAAACCCAGTTAAAACTAAAATTGATATTATGAATATCTCTCCCAAAAGTACCTTAACTTGTACTCTATTTCAGTAAATGATATAACTCTCTGTTAATGAGGTCTGAGGTCTAAATCTTTCTCTCATTGAGTTTTTCCCTATACCTTATATCCAAAACTATAAGCCGGCCTATCCTGTAGGTTCTGACTCAGAATGTGTTGTTTTTCAGTTGTACTGCTGCTACTAAAACTCAGGTCTAAATTAGCTTAGTTGAATTATACCAATAATCTAGTTTTTCTCCTTAACTTCAATATTTGCCATATTAATTTTTGTGAAATGCAGCTTTCTTTTTCTTATTTTTGTCTGAAAAATTAAGCTTTCCCATTGCCTTCAAAATAGAGCCCAAATTTCTTGGCCTGGCATTTAGAAGACAATTCATTAACTGACATAGAGGACCTCCATTCTTTAGACCCAGAAATTCCTTACAGCAGAGCCAATACTATTTTTTTTTTTTTTTCGGCCTGGAAAGCTTTTTACCTATTTAACTTCCACATCCTATCAATACCCAGTTCAAATATTACTTCTCATGAAGACTCTGGAATCTGCTATGTTTTTCCACCCCAAATTCTTTTAATAGTTTCTTTCTAAGGTATCTTTTGATACTTTTTCATGGTGCCAGGACTGTCTACCTTGAGCCACATTCTTTTTCACACAGGTGTTATTATCCCTGTAAAACTGAGTACTTTTTTTTTTTTTTTACTATTTTTTTTGCTTCTTTGTAAATTATCACAAAAGGAAGGATATAGAATTATTAGATTAAGTGATCAAAGCAAAGTATAACCATCTTCTCTCTCCTACATAATTCTAATCATTCCCAGGTCACTTCAGCAAAAGGTAAAAAAGAAGCTCCAGCCTCCAACAAAACCAAATGTTAACAAAACAAAACAAAACCCGCCTCTTGTATGACTAGCAACTTGTACAATGTTCTTATCTACAAGGCTATTTTCCTAACCTTTCACTTGGCTAAAATTCATTAATGTCAATGAAGGGTAAACTTCACCAGAGAAGGGATTTTTTGTTCAGTTATTTCTCTGTTCTTGCAATTTAATGGGTGCTTTTACATTTTTATTGAATCAAAGAACTAGATTTTTGCTTAAATGTCATTTTTTTTCTGGGTTTGTCCAATCAAAATTGGGTAGTTATAAATATAAATGTTATTTCCTAGACCTCATTTTCCACCCTACATGATAATCTCAGAATCAGCTCAAAGTTGATCATCTGCATGTGCACAAGATAAACAAAAATGACTCAATTCATGCAGAATGCAATATTACAGCTACTATCTCACGACGGGTCTGGAAAACCTTTCTGTTTATGTCTTTGCAACGCTTTTGCAATCCTTTTAGATAAATATTCTTTTAAAGATGCTCCCTTACATTCCTCCACGGAGTACTCAGCCTTGAATTACATTAATGCCTCAGAGACACGTCTGGAAACGCAGGACAAGCGAAAAAGGCCCCGAATCCAAAATTAGTCAAACTGTAGAGAAGCTGAAAAACGGCAGGAGACAAGTAAAAACGAATGTCAATCCTTTGATCAAGCAAAACGCACCGAGGGCCTAGCACGGGGAAGGTCCTTGACACGGGAACCAGATGATGATTAAAGAGCTGTACAGAGAGGTCACTATAACCCTCTAAGGACCAAGACACAGTTCCAAGGACTTAATCCCTTGAGCTGGGTCCCTAGTCCACAACACCCTCGGAGGAGGCAGTAGTGCTCTCTCTAAGGGGAGAGCGATCGGGCTGGGGTACGCTTCCACCAGCAAATTACGAGGTTTACTCTAACTAAGCGAGAACACCAAGACCACACAGAGCTCCCACACGCCCCTCGCGGGGGTCTCGAGCCTCCCAGAGGCATCTGGGAGCAAGTCCCTCGTCATAACTCACCGCTCCGCCCCGCCACTCGCTCCGTTCCCGGTAGCTTCTTTCGAACCGGTCCGCGCATCAGCCGGCTCCGAAAGAGGTAAAACAAAGGTTCCCGCAGCAGAGGCGAGGGAAACGTTTGGCAGTGAGACAGAAGGAAGTGACGTAACCCATCGGCTTCCGGTCCGCCGGATTATGAATGACGGGTGGCGCGGGTATTCTAGACGTCTTGCCTGTTGTTGTTCTTTCTTCTCTCTGGAAGCGAGGCGGGCCGTGGCTCGCAGAAGTAGCATCGGCATCCCGGCTCCGGCCGGGCGGAAAGGCGCAGGCGGCAGGTGTCGCCGACACGCTCACGCACCCTCCCTGCCTGGCCGCGCCTCTGCGACCAGGTAAAGAGGGCGCTCTAGSGGCTGGCTCACTCGGCCCCCTCGACCCCTTAATCACCTTTCTTGCAGTAGGAGTTGACAGGGTTGAGGATGCGCGGAAAAGGTGGGAAGGGCAAGGACTTGAAATCATTGTTCCGAAGTCTCTTCAACCCTAAGTAAACCTCAGACTTTCTGGCCACAATTCGTGAGGGTGCGCAGGTGGAGGGGTTTGTTCCCTTTAGCATCTTTTTTTTTTGCGGTGTCCTGTTTCCGCCAACCAGTTCTCACCTATTCTTTACTGATTGAGGTCTGGAGCAACTTCCAGTTGTTGGGGTTTGCGGGGCCGTTTGCTGTTAAGTGTAGTTACAAGACTTCTTGGATCATGCTTTTAACTTTTGTCACTTAGTTTTCCATTGCAGCTCTTCCTGATTGGAGGAAGTGAATACTATTTAATAGTTACTCCACACGATATGCATCATTTTAGGACATGTCACACTATCAAAGCAATGTTTCTCTTTGGTTATTAACTTATATAGAAAATTTGTTTAACATGCATAAAAGTTACTCTGGCTTCAAAAAATGTTTTCTCATACATGTACTTCCCATTTCACCTCCTACCTGGTTTTGGATTTAGGTGACTTTTTTCCCTCTCTTTATTCTTAATGCCAAGATCTTATTCCTTATCATAAATTCTCGAATGAATGGTAGCACTTAGTATATCTCGTTCTAAATTATTGATAAAGAATAAATGAATAATTTCTGTGTTTTTAAAGCTCATCTGGAGAAAATGTTTACAATAGAAAATGCAAAAGCTTGCAAGAACTAATGATATGATAATTTTAAACATGTAAATATGGTCATTTAGATATTATGAAAATAAACTAATATTAAACACAACTGAGTGATTTGCTGTCATATTTAATAAATCAGACATTAAGCTATATTTTCTTAACTCCTGGGGGAAAGTATATGCTACTGATATGATTGCCCTAAGCATATCTGTTACTTGAAATTGTGTTTGAGTTACACCTGAAGACATCATATTAAGAAGCCTAACTCTTCAAGAACAAGACTGACAAAGTCTGAGATTTGAGAACTGTTTTATTAGTTTATTATTTTATTTACATTCCTATGTGTTTTCCCTACTTGAAACAAAGCCCAAACTTGAACTTCTGTAGGAATGGGCCCATTGAGTTTTGCTTTAAACATATTTTACTTTGTAACTTTTATATAGTGGCCTATGTGAAATAAGAATACTTAATATCCAATTTGCCTTTCTATTAGCAACAATTTAGCAGGCCTTGCAACTAACAAGTTCTGAGGTTACCCATGAAGGTAGCCAACTGACATATCTGTCATATGCAATATGTACAGGTACCTGGTATATGTGTTTTTATCCATAAGTATTCAGGGTAGCCTACTGAATTCTGTTATGATTAGTACTTGGAATGCAGGGTTTTAAACTATGTAGATCATAACAAGAACAGGTATTGTGTGCTGTAAAAATTCAGTAATTTTTGTGTCGGGCTTGCTAATGTTTCTAATCTTTTAAGTATTTCATGCTGGGGATCCCTGTTAATTATGAGGTCAAGCTTAGCTGCCAGAATTGACTCCATGGCAACAGATGATACCCTGCTTCTCCAGAAAGATTGCAAAGTTACTTTTATGACTAGGGTTATAGTAAGTTCTTTTTTAGTTTAAAATTATTTTTGAAGTTCTAGCCCAGATAAGAAAGCAGTTAATTTTATTCATCGGATTTATCCTTTAGAACTTAACTATCTCCTGCCTCCTCTTTATGTAATGTAATAAATGCTGGAGAAGTTCAGATTTCATTTTCCTTGTTCTTTAATATTTAAGGTAATTAGCATTGTCTATCTTTGGAGAACTAAGCTTTTTGTTTCTTTTTTTTTAAAGACTTGTATCATTGTAATAAAATATGATAGAATTTGAAAACAAATAGTGCTGTTTATGAAAGGTATAAAATAAAAAAAAAAAGCTGAGCAATTTGACATGAGAGAATTTACACAGGTTTAAATTTTAATCTTTAAAACAAGTATTTTTTAATACTTGTAAATTGTGTCAAACTACTTATTTTGTACAATATTGTTGGTTAATATGTGGATTTAAAGAGTTTCCCATTTCTAGTGTACCATTTTATGACTCCCTGACTTTTAGCCTCAGTTACCAAGTTTTTCCAGAATTTGATGGAAAAAATATGTAATATTCCCTACTTTTCCTGAGAAGAAATTTTGGAATGTAAAGCAAAATTTGGATTTTTGTGCCTCAACATTTGTGTATTTCAATAAAGTCAGTGGATAAAGAATTCAGAGATAAGTTATAAATGAATAATAGGGGCTGGGGAAATAGTCCAGTGATAGAATGCTTACCTAACATGTGCAAGGGTCTGGTTTTGACCAGCACTTGAGAAAAACAAAGAGAATAATAATAGCTGGAATTTAGAGACTTACTATGTGACAGTCATTGTTTTGTTCTCACAGCACAATATATGATAGGTACTGTTATTAGTATTCTTATAAAGAGAAAATGAAGGTGAAGAAAAGTTTTATAGGTACTAAGAACCAGAATAGAGTTTGGCCAAGTGTCTGGGCTCTTATCCATTATTTTATAATTCTTATTATATAAATGTTGTACTTGCTAGATAAGTATATAGAATCTACTTTAGATTCTTACTTCTTTTGCCTAAATATCAATATAACAAAAATTTTTATAGTTTATTCAGAAGTTTGGGTGTATTCCAGTTATACTTTTTGTGAATCAGCTCACAAAGGTGATCTTGTTTTTTTTTTTTCCCTTATTAATTTGCCTTTATCCTTCAAACAGATGAATTTGAAAGAGGGCATCATAAAGAATGAGGCTTGTATTTACCAAGAATAAATTTCTCAATAGAGTATTCTCAAGGTAGTAATTATTGCCATTAATTTGTATATTCATTCCTTATTCATTCCCTGAACTAAAATTTGAGCACTATTAAGTATTGGAGATGTGTCAGGTAATAGGTGCTACAAAGGAAAAAAAAAAAAAAGCTGGATAAGAAGCTAGAAAGTGATTGGGAGAGATTTTTCCATTCAGGTAGTCAGGAGAGGCTGCTTATTTTGAGATAATTCTTATGCAGAGAAATCAATGAGGTGAAGAAAGTGAGTATCTTGGACAGAAGCATTCTGAGCAAAGGGAATAGCAAGTACAAAAATTCTCAAGTGGAAGTGTTCCTGACATCTTCCAAGAACAGCAAAAACTATTGTTGAAAGGGGTGAAAGGTTAATAAAATAGGTACTTGTCACTCCATTTTTCTATATGCTTAACAAAACACTGTTGAAATCTTAATAACTGTTTGCTAATCTTGTTCCCAGAATGTGCTGTCCCCAACTGTGAACTGTTTGCTAATCTTGTTCCCAGAATGAGCTGTCCCCAACTGCCAAACTACAAAATGTAACTTCTCTCCCTGCCCTCTCCAAGGAAAGTATATAAGCTCTGCTTAAGCTGTTCTCAGGGCTCTCTCTTTGCTATAGTGAGCTCTGAGCCCCAGCATGCAGGTCTCCAAATAAACCCTCCCTTCTGCTGTTGCATAAGACAGTCTCTTGTGGTCTCTTCCTCCGACGTTTCGCCGGACCCTTACAGGGGGTGAGGAAGAATAGTAGATGAGGTCAGAAAAGGATAGGTAGGATCTCATTAATCCTCATAGGCCATATGAGACATCTGGATTTTATTCTAAGTATCAGGGGAATCATTGGGTAGTTTTGGGCAGGGTCGTGAACTAATTTATATTTTTAAAGGATCACTCTGACTTGTTGGAGAGTACAATATTATGTGGAGAATGGGGCTGAGGGGGGTTGTTAATAGGCTTTTTTTTTTTTAGTAGTACTTTTAAGACTAGGTGATGACTTAGATTTGTAATGAGAGAGGCAATTAGAAATTAAATTTAGTCTATTTCAAAGGTAGACATGTCAGGGTATGAGAGGAAAAAACAGTTGAGCAGGATTTCATTTGACCAAAAACAGGATCAATAAGGAAAAAGGAATAGGTTTGGAAAAATATCCAGGTGGTGATGTCAAATAGGATGTAGGAGTGAGTTCAGAGGAGAGGATATGGCTGTGGTATAAATATATGGGAGTCAGATGATATTTAAAACTGGCACTGGAGATCACCTAGAACAGTGATGTCATAGTGTGAATTGTATCCCATTAATGGCTCATGAAATCAATTTATTGAATTAATAGCATTTTAAAAGAAAGAAAAAGTATGAACTAAAAATAATAGATTTATCCCACGTAGTAGAGTTAAGTATTTTTTCATGACATTTTTGTTTCATTTTTATTCTGTGCATAGTGATATTATAAAATTCATTTCATATTGTATGGCATGATCAAAAATTTGAAATCCAGTAATCAAAAGATTGAGTATAGAGGGCAAAGCCCTGAGCTGTGGGTCACTGACAGGTCTGAGAAGTATCCAGTAAAAGAAATTAGCAAGGAACTGCCCCAAAACTTAATCCAGTACTGAGAATCATCAAATAACCCAATAAACCAGCCTTTGGAATGGAGTTTTTTGTTTTGTTTTGGTTTGGTTTGGTTTTTGTACCAGGGATTAAAACCACAGATGCTTAATCACTGAGCTACATCCTGAACCCATTTTATTTTTTATTTTGGGACAGGGTCTCACTGTGATGCTAAGGCTGGCCTCGAATTTGCCATCCTTAGAGATCTTTCTCAAGAGTTATTGAGACTAATACCTTCACTTAAAATAACAAAATTTCTAATGATTTTCTCTTTGGTTAAATTATTGCTTCAATAAAATTGCAATGGATTTCAATTTATAAAATTCTAAGTTTATATAATAGTACTATTTTTTAAAAATAATTTTTAGTTGTAGATGGACACAATATCTTTAATTTTATGTGGTGTTGAGGATCAACCCAGTGCCTTACCCATGTGAGGCAGGTGCTTTACCACTGAGCTACAGCCACACCCCTAATAGTATTATTTATATTAAAAAAAATGTCTATTCTGAGTGTTTTCAAAATTCCCCTTATAAATTCAATTATTTCCCTTTTTAATGAAAAAAATCACTGGCTTATAATATGCTGCATAACAAACTTTTTGGTGTTCTTGTATAGTGTATGACTTATTATGTAATATTTAGTTGCCAAAGAGCTTGTTTTGATTTTGAGCACAACACTTTTGAACTTTTTTTCCAGCTTATGGAGAAACATGCTTATTTTCAGTATTTACTGTTCTCTCTCTCCCTCCCCCTCCTTCTCTCTCTTCCTCCTCCTCCTCCTCCTCCTTCTTCTTCTCTCTCTCTCTCTCTCTCTCTCCCTCTCTCCCTCTCTCCCTCTCTCCCTCTCTCCCTCTCTCCCTCTCTCCCTCTCTCCTTTTCCCTCCCTTTTTGTCATAAATACACACACACAAACATTTTCATGAAAACATGCCTGGAATTAAGTAGCAAGGAGATTTGATATTTAAAAAAACCTCTAAACTCATTTCCCTTTTTTATATATGAAACATTTTAATTGATCAAAGCCAAAGTCTATTAATTAGACTGAGAATGCAGATAAAGTCTAAATGCCTAAATTTTAAAGCTGTGATTAGTGCAACCATTTGAACTTGATTCTGAAGTAATGAATCTAATGCTTCATTTTTTTTCTTTTTAGTTATTTGTTCTTTCTGCAAGAAATACAAGCACATTAGTGTGTCCAGGGAAGAGCTGCACACATTATTAGCTCTGTTTGGCTTCTGAAGTTTGTGGTTTTGTCTTCTGCTTTTTCACTCCTTCTCAGGAGTGCTTACAGAGTGGCACATGTAAAAGCAGAGAAAGAGCAAATGAAACTATCTCTGTGCATGGCAAAATATAATATGGTGTAACACAAGTCATTCCCAGAAGCCCTGGAGACCCAGAAGTTGCTTCTATGGTACCTACTTTCTTAAAGCTCATGACATATAATTAATGAACTTAGAAATTCTCAAGGTAGAAAAAGAAGAGAAAATGAATTTGTGTGTGTGTGTGTGTGGTATTTGAACTTCTAACAAAAACTATGTTCTTTTTTGTAAAATTCAAGGCTCAGGGCAAGTTTTCAAAAGTTATGTAGCTGGGCGAGTTGGCACACGCCTGTAATCCCAGTAGCTCAGGAGGCTGAGGCAAGAAGGTCTTGAGTTCAAAGCCAGTCTCAGCAACATCAAGGTGCTAAGCAACTCAATGAGAAAAATAGGGCTTGGGACGTGGTTCAGTGGTTGAGTGCCCCTGAGTTCAATCCCTGTACCACCTCCCCCCAAAAAAGAAAGAGATAAAATTTGTACAGGTTTACTAAATATTTAAGATTTATTTTAAAACCATAATGGGGAGAAGTTGCCCAAGGAGGGTTTTGTTTTTAGCTCTAAGAGGTAAAAATTTTAGGTAAAAAAGATTAGGTAAAAATTTTAATCTCCCAAGATAAAATAGCAACATCTATATTGAAAAATTATGTATTTATATACACCATTCACAGTACTTTTCCTTTGGGTATCTCAAAGTTTGGATTTCATCATAGGCATTTTTATTTTATTTTGGTGACATTTAATATTTATTAAGGGCTCTTAGTGAAGAAAGTTTAGAGAATATTTTCATACTTTTTATGTTCCTTAGAAAGTGGCAAATATAAATATGTTCCCATCCCCCATCTCCATACTTAATTCAAAAGCTTTAAAATAACCTGCTATTTTTTTAATAGAAAGTACTAGCAGGACTAGTTGTATAGTTACTATTTTTATACTGCTAAGTAAATGAGGTAATTGATCATGTTTCCTTTAAATCTACCTTCTTAAAGCACTTAGGTATTTTCATTATAGTCCACTGTCAGGAGAATAATTCAAGAGGATTGACAAATTAATCAGCTGTAAATTTCTAGGGTAAACTCCTCAAAGAAATTTCCTAGAAAGTATGGTTGGTTCTTTTTACCTGTGAATGTTAACTTTAATAAATATCCTTTACTCTTTTGTTTTGAATAAATGAGTTCTAGGTGCTCCCCCACCAAAAAAAATAAATAAATCAATAAAATAAATCAATCTTAGGGGGGATTGTGGTTTCCACAGGTTAAAAAATGATTGTTCTTAAATAATCTTTTTTTTCTTTCTTTCTTCCTTTTTTTTTTTTTTTTGAGGGGGGTGGGGGGTGGTTCTGGGGATTTAAACCAGGCAGGAATACTTTACCACTGAACAACATCACAGTCCTTTTAATTTTTTATTTTGAGACAGGATCTCACTAAGTTGCTGAGCTTCTAAGTTGCTGGAGAGTAGCCTGAAACTTGTAATCCACCTACCTAAATCTTCAGAGTTCCTGGAATTATATGCATGTACCATTGTGCCCAGCTTTTCAGATAATCCTTTAATAAAGTAACCATGGTACAGATCTCTATGTTTCAACAACAACAACAATAACAACAAAAATAACAGTATTTATGTTACCAAAAAGTTTTATAAGTGGGTACTTCACTACATTTCTTTGCTATAATGGATTATAAACTCTTTCATAGAAGGAAAAATATAGTTGAACCAAGAAAATTAATTAAACAGTGATGACTCATGCTTTTGATGAACAACAATAACAAAAATCCAGAGGAATATAGAGTATTAAACGAAAATTTGAAGGTTTTCTAAAATTAAGGGTACACTAACATTTCAAATGCACTTAAATGATAAAGTTGCATGTGTACTTTTTAAGGCTTTAAAACAAAACAATTTTTTTTCCTTCTATATGCCATTTTCCTTTTACATTCTTGTGTGGCCAGTGGTTTTAAAGAGCACCATCTAGTGTCAGTTTTGGAATCACTATTTATGTATTAGAACATGGAAGATGCTGGATCCAGAAATTTATGACTCAAGAAATCTTGATAATTGACAGAACTCTTAAAGAAATAATTTGACCTCAAGTTTGTGTGTATGCATCTTTAAAACACCCTATATATGTACTTATCCATGCATTCATTCAACAAATACTTCTTTATTATACATAAATATATAGTAGTCCCTGCTTCAGGCATAGTGGTTAACAAAACAAAATATCTACTCTCATGGATTATTCTAGTTAGGAGACACCAAATAAACAGTATGCTATAATTGTGATAATTGCTATGGAGAAAATTAAAGCATAGAAATTTTCTGTTTTCAGGGAGAATAGGATTAGGATTTACAATATCAAAAAGAGTAGCCAGGGAAGGTCTCCTTAAGCAGTGCCTTTGAGAAATACCTTAAGGGAGTGTTCTAGATTCTGGAAACAACAAATGCAAAGGCCCCAAAGTAGGAGATGCTCCCAGAGTTTTTGTAGGAAATAACAATTTACTTTAGTTGGAGCAGTGAGCAATGAGGAAAGTTAAGAAGAAGAACAAAGAACACATGAAAGGAGATCTTTTAGACCACTATAGGAACTTTGGATCTTCTACCCGTATACTTGGAAGACACTGGAGGGTTTGAACTGAGTAATGGCAATACTTCATTTTAAACAATCACTTTGGCTGCTGTTTTGACAATAGACTAGAGGGGAGGTAAGATGTAAAGCAAAGATAGGAAGCATTTGTTGTAATTCATAAAAGGTGGTAATGACTGGGGTCACAGTGGAAGCAATGGAAATGTTGTGAAATAATTAGATCCTAAATATACTCGGAAGATAGAGCTGCTAATAATTAGTTATGGGGATGTAAAGAAAAAGAAAAATTAAGAAGTTAAAAACTGTGTTCTGAGACTAGTTAATTTCACAAGTTGGGGGAAAGTTTTCTTTTGGAAGACATTATTTCAGTCTTGAGAGACACATATAACTTCACAAAGTCTTACTGATTTAAAACATTCATTTTTTAAATTTTAGCTTCTGAATTATCAAATTCTATTCAAGGCCTATAATTACTTCAATTTATGCTTTAGGTGGCCCAATGAATGAAGAAAATGAAAGGCACTAAGAAAAGTCTTACAGAAGAATATCTATACCTGGACTTTTCTCACCAAACAGAAGGATGCATCTTTCCTCTTCATACAGCTGTGACTTTATTCTTGTTATCATACTGTGACTGCAAAATATTTAAAGTTTACTTAGTCCTCACCAGAGAAAGTACAGATATTGATCTACTTAGAGATGTGTTGTTCCAGGATGTTGAAATTCAGGTTATCTCAAAGGAGGAGCTCCCACCAATAGTCCAGAATTGCTGTTTACCTGCGGTGGTAGAACGACCAGACAATTTTTGTAGAGCAGGACTTGCGGTTGTACTAAGACACATTATCCAGAAATCATATGAAGCAGACCCTTCAAGGAAGGAAATTTTGGAACTTCTGGGTTTTAAAAAGACTTGTTTGAAAGCCTGCGCTGAAGTAAGTATAAGGTCTCTTGTTATTTAAAACTACACAGTGATAATAACATATTCACTTGACCATTTATTTTCACTTTCAGTTACGAATAAAATTTATTTATAAACCCAGAGAACCAATGAAATAAAGTAGTCCTTCATGTATGTCAGTATTACACTGAAGTATTGAAAAATAAGAATTTGGATTTAATTTATGAAGCTTGAAGACATTTTTAAAGAGAATAACTTGTTTTTATTCTTTATTTCAGTTACACTGAGGATTATGTATTTTATTTTAATTTAATTTTATTTATTTTTCTGTTTTGCTGTATCAGGCAAAGTCTACCACTGAGCCACATCCCTTTTGCCTACTTAGAGAATTTTTAAAGGAAATATTTACATATAAACAGGAGCTCAAGTAGTAGAGCTTTGGAAGTCATGTGCTTTTGTTTTTGTTTTTTGTGTGGGGAGATGTATTTTTAAAACTTTGGGAAGTAATGCATATTCAGTAAGAGGACACAGCCTTGCAAAACATTTGTTTAATGTTTTTCATGTCTGAAGCACTGTACTAATATCTCCATAAAGCATAAAACATAGCCCAGGAATGATTTGCACCAAGACTTAAATGATCTAAACCAGTGTTATTTCTCAATAAGAGTTATTTTTGTCAAGTTATATTGAGAATGAAGAATCCTTTCATTTCTTATTTTGTTTTATAGGTTAGTCAGTGGACCAGGCTATGTGAACTCACAATCCCATTGGCTATTGAGAATTTTCTCAGAGAGTCTTCTGACCAGCTCCCAACTATACCTATGGAAGTACTACAGCTGGAGAAAAAGCTTAGTGAACCTGTTAGAGTGCACAATGATGACAAACTCCGCAGGCAGAAGCTAAAACAACAGAAGACTGCTGCAGTTAAGCCTGCCCTTGCTAAGGGAAAAGCAAAGAGCAAGGTCCAAACAGAGGAAATGTCTGAAGAGTTGGACTCTTCATCCAAGAGTCTGGAATTGAACATGGCATTCTCCAAGCTCAGAGTGCAGGAGGAACCAGTTACTACCAACAGGGAGCCTTCTCACATAAGGAAAGCAAAAGCCTCTGACCTTCCACCTCTGGAACATGTGTTTGCAGAAGGGCTTTACTTCACTTTGGCAGATATCGTGCTTATGCCCTGTATCCATCATTTTTTGGTAAGATTTTATCTAAAGTGTTTATGTTACTTTGAGTTTCAATCTATGAATCTGCTTAGTTTGAATTCCAATTCTATTAACCATTATGTTCTGAGCAAATTGTTAATATCTGTCTCCATTTCTTTTTATCTTTAAAATGGAGATAATAAGAACTCTTTGTTGTAATTTGGATCTTGACAGTCCCCAAAAGGCTCATGTGTTGAAGGCTTCCCCAGGTTTCCCCAAGGGTGGAAACTTTAGGAATGTGGAGCTTAATGGAAGGAAGTTACATTACTGGGGGCACACCCTTTAAAGGGTTGGAACACTGCCACTTTGGGTCTCTCTTTACTTCCTGATTGCTATGAGGTTAATAGGCCTCTTCTACTATGGGCTCCTGCTGTTATAAGCTGTCACCACAGGCCCAAATTAAGAGGATGAAGTAACCATGATCTGAAATCTCAAACTGAGACAAAATAAATCTTTTCCCTATTAGGTTGATTATCTTAGGTAGTGTTACAGTTGTAACTCACATACACTCTAATATAATCAATAAAAAGAAAAATGAATGAATTATTATGACTTTTAAATTACCATAATGGTAGTAATTGTTACCATGAATTTCAAATTGTTGTAATCACCTTATAATATTAGGGGGTCTTGCATAAAAAAACAAAAACAAAAAAATCTTATCAGCTATATTTTATAATTAAGTAATCACCTAAAATATTAATCTCATTGTTTCAGGTATTATCAAATCAGAAAGATTTTATCCTTGTTTGTATATTTTTTAGTTCTCTATAAGATTAAATGCTATTTTATGTTGTGGGAGAAATGGATGGAACATTTTCTTTCCTAGTAGAGAGATCTATCTGTATCTGTATTTATCTCTATTATACCTATGTTTTATCCTCTCTGGAGTAAAAAAGAATAGGGTGAAAATATATCAGAATGAACATGGAAAGCTAGCTTGCTCCAATCTTCAAGTTGGTTCTTTTTTTAAAAAAAAATTTTAAATAAATTTTTTAAAAAAATAAATGACAGCGGAATACATTACAATTCTTATTACACATATACAGCACAATGTTTCATATCTCTGGCTGTATATAAAGTATGTTCACACCAAACTCGTGTCTTCATACATGTACTTTGGATAATATTGTCCATCACATTCCACCATCCTTGCTAACCCTCTGCCCCTCCTTGCCCCTCCCACCCCTCTGCCCTATCCAGAGTTCCTCTATTCCTTCCATGTTCCCCCTCCCTACCCCACTATGAATCAGCCTCCTTATATCAGAGAAAACATTTGGCATTTGTTTTTTGGGATTGGCTAACTTCACTTAGCATTATCTTCTCCAACGCCATCCATTTACCTGCAAATGTCATGATTTTATTCTCTTTTATTGCTGAGTAATATCCCATTGTGTATATATGCCACATTTTTTTTATCCATCATCTACTGAAGGGCATCTAGGTTGGTTCCACAGTTTAGCTATTGTGAATTATGCTGCTATAAACATTGATATGGCTGTGTCCCCGTGTTTGCTGTTTTTAAGTCTTTGGATATAGACTAAGAAGAGGGATAGCTGGGTCAAATGGTGGTTCCATTCCCAGTTTTCCAAGGAATCTCCATAGTGCTTTCCATATTGGCTGCACCAATTTGCAGTCTCACCAGCAATGTATGAGTGTACCTTTTCCCCAACATCCTCGCTAACACTTATTGTTGTTTGTCTTCATAATAGCTGACTGGAGTGAGATGAAACCTTAGAGTAGTTTTGATGTGCATTTCTCTGATTGCTAGAGATGATGAATATTTTTTCATATATTTGTTGATTGATTATATATCCTCTTCTGAGAAGTGTCTGTTCAGGTCCTTGGCCCATTTATTGATTGGGTTATTTGTTATTTTTTGGTGCTTAGCTTTTTGAGCTCTTTATATACCCTAGAGATTAGTGCTCTATCTGATGTGTGAGGGGTAAAAATTTGCTCCCAAGATGTAGGCTCTCTATTCACCACACAAGTTGTTTCTTTTGCTGAGAAGAAACTTTTCAGTTTGAATCCATCCCATTTATTGATTCTTGGTTGTAATTCTTGAGCTATAGTAGTCTTATTAAGGAAGTTGGAGCCTAGTCACACATGATGAAGATTAGGGCCTACTTTTTCTTCTATTGGATGCAGAGTCTCTGGTTTAATTCCTAGGTCCTTGATCCACTTTGAGTTGAGTTTTGTGCATGGTGAGAGTTAGGAGTTTCATTTCATTTTTTTGCATATGGATTTCCAGTTTTCCTAGCACCATTTGTTGAAGAGGCTATATTTTCTCCAGTGCATGTTTTTGACAACTTTGTCTAAAAGAAGATAATTGTAATTTTGTGGGTTAGTCTCTGTGTCCTCCATTCTGTACCATTGGTCTATCAGTCTGTTTTGGTGCCAATACCATGCTGTTTTTGTTACTCTTGCTCCCTAGTATAGTTTAAGGTCTGTTATAGTGATGCCACCTGCTTCACTCTTCCTGCTAAGGATTGCTTTAGCTATTCTGGGTCTCTTATTTTTCCAGATGAATTTTATGATTGCTTTTTCTATTTCTATGAGGAATGCTACTGGGATTTTGATCGGAATTGCATTAAATCTGTATAGTGCTTTGGGAAGTTTGGTCATTTTGATAATATTAATTCTGTCTATCCAAGAGCAAGGTACCATCTTTCCATCTTCTAAGGTCTTCTTTGATTTCTTTCTTTAGGGTTCTGTAGTTTTCATTGTATAAATCTTTCACTTTTTTCGTTAAATTGATTCCCAAGTTTTTTTTTTTTTTTTTTTTGAGGCTATTGTAAATGGGGTAGTTTTCCTCATTTTCCTCTCAGAGGATTTGTCATTGATATACAGAAATGCCTTTGATTTATGGGTGTTGATTTTATATCCCGCTACTTTGTTGAATTCATTTACTGGTTCTAGAAGTTTTCTGGTGGAGTTTTTTGGGTCTTCTAGGTATAGAATCATATCATCAGCAAATAGTGCTAATTTAAGTTCTTCTTTTTCTATACATATCCCTTTAATTTCTTTCATCTGTCTAATTGCTCTGGCCAGTATTTCAACAACTATGTTAAGTGGTGAAATAGGCATCCCTTCTTGTTCTTGTTTTTAGAGGGAATACCTTCAATTTTTCTCCATTTAGAATGATGTTGGCTTGGCACTTATCGTAGATAGCCTTTAGGATGTTGAGATATGTTCCCGTTATCCCTAGTTTTTCTAGTGTTTTGAAGGGAGGCTATATTTTGTTGAATGCTTTTTCTGCATCTATTGAGATGAACATATGATTCTTATCTTTGAGTGTATTGATGTGATGAATTACATTTATTGATTTCCATATGTTGCACCAACCTTGCATCCCTGGGATGAATCCCACTTGATCATGGTGCACAATCTTTTGATTTATTTTTGTATTCGATTTTTCAGAATTTTATTGAGAATTTTGCTGTCTATGTTCATTTGAGATCATTTTCTTTCTTTGATGTGCCTTTGCCTGGTTTTGGAATCAGGGTGATTTTGGCCTCATAGAATGAGTTTGGAAGTGCTGTCTCTTTTTCTATTTCCTGAAATAAATTGAAGAGTATTGGTATTAGTTCTTCTTTAAAGGTCTTGTAGAACTCGGCTGTCTATTCTTCCGGTCCTGGGCTTTTCTTGGTTGGTAGGCTTCTGATGGCATCTTCTATTTCATCATTTGATATTGGTCTGTTTAAATTGTGTATATCTTTCTGTTTCGATCTGGGCACATCATATGACTTAAGAAATTTGTTGATGCCTTCAATGTCTTCTATTTTATTGGAGTATAAGTTTTCAAAATAATTTCTAACTATCTTCTGTATTTCTGTAGTGTCTGTTGTGATATTATCTTTTTCATCACTTATTCTGGTAATTTGAGTTTTCTCTCTCCTTCTCTTCATTAGCATAGCTAAGAGTCTGTCAATTTTATTTATTTTTCTAAAAAACAACTTTTTATTTTGTCAATTGTTTCAGTTGTTTCTTTTGTTTCGATTTCATTGATCTCAGCTCTAATTTTGATTATTTCTTGCCTTCTACTGCTTTTGCTGTTGATTTGTTTTTTTTCTAGGGCTGAGATGTAACTCGTTTGTTGACTTTTTCTTCTTTTAAGGAATGAACTCCATGCAATGAACTTTCCTCTTAGTACTACTTTCATAGTGTCCCAGCGATATTGATATGTTGTGTTTATGTTCTCATTCATGTCTAAGAATTTTTTAATCTCCTCCTTGATGTCTTCTGCAACCCATTGTTAATAAGTAGCATATTGTTTAGTCTCCAGATGTTGGAGTAATTGTTATTTTTTATTTTGTCATTGATTTTTAATATTATTCCATTTAATATCTCTACTTTTTTGTATTTGCCAAGAGTTGCTTTGTGGCATATTGTATGATCTATTTTAGAGAAGGATCTATGTGCTGCTGAGAAGAAAGTGTTATCCGCTTGATGCAGGTTGAAATATTCTATATATGTCAGTTAAGTCTGTTATTGATTATATTATTGTGTTCTATAGTTTCTTTATTCAATTTTTGTTTGGAAGATCTACCAGTAGTAAGAGAGGTGTGTTAAAGTCACCCAAAATTATTGTGTTGTGATCAATTTGACTCTTGAACTTGAGAAGAATTTGTTTGATGAACATAGCTGCCCCATTGTTTGGAGCATACATATTTATGACTGTTATGTCTTGTTTGTGTATGGTTCCCTTGAGCAGTATGTAATGTCCATATTTATCCCTTTTGATTATTTCCAGTTGGTTCTTAAGAGCTGCATTTTTCTTTCTTTGAATCATTTCACCCTTTCCACTTCTAAAGAATCAGATATTATATATTATAATATAATATTATATATTATTCTCATTTTGTGTTACTACCATTTCAAATATCTCTACTAACTAACAAAAAAGACTTCTAATGAAAAACTGTGTATTTGAAGGTTGGTGCTTCACTAAATTATGTAATATGGATCAACTATTGTTTTCTTATTTAATATTT